TATATATATATATATATATATATATATATATACATATATATATACAAGTGCCCTTTATATATTATGTGTTGTTTTGTCATCAAGAGTTTCAGAAAAGCAAATAGAAAGAGTTATGGAAAACTTGGTCCACTCAAACACAGCAGAAAGTCAACAGCATCCAATCTCTCACTCTTAGTCTCAATTGCTGGTACAGGGCTAAATGATTTGCTGTTGAAAATCAATATTCTGAAAGTTTCCAACAGTCTTAAAGTGACAGTGATGTACTGCATCTCTGCCAGGGATGGCCAGCCAGCACATAATCTACAGCTTCTTATGGCTCTTTGTGTTGGCAAAGACCAGGTCTTTGAACTCTGGGAAGTTTTCTTTCTCAAGGAACAGCAAGTAGTTATCTTTCCATTCCTAAAAAGGAAAAAAGGCGGAGTGAGCAAAGAGTGGATTATCACTACAAGAACAACAGTCACTGGTCCTTTGTTAACGGGGGTGGGGGGTGTGTTACTTTACTCTTTCCCGACAGTAGCGACTCAGTGCGTCATTCGGGTGTTCAGACAGACTTGTCCAAATGCGTCCCCGAACATAGCGACACACCTCTCTCATTTTTTATTTAAATATAGCAGTAAAATCTTGCGTCCCTTGACTTACAGTGATGGCGTGATTAGGAGTGATAGAAATCTAAAAACTGAAAGGTTTTTTTTATTATATGATTAGGAGTGATAGAAATCTAAAAACTGAAAAAAAATTTTTTTATTATATGATTAGGAGTGATAGAAATCTAAAAACTGAAAGTTTTTTTTTTTATTATATGATTATGAGTGATAGAAATCTAAAAACTGAAAGGTTTTTTTTTAATTATATGATTAGGAGTGATAGAAATCTAAAAACTGAAACTTTTTTTTATATTATATGATAAGAAGTGATAGAAATCTAAAAACTGAAATTTTTTTTATATTATATGATAAGAAGTGATAGAAATCTAAAAACTGAAACTTTTTTTTATATTATATGATAAGAAGTGATAGAAATCTAAAAACTGAAAGGTTTTTTTTTTATTATATGATTAGGAGTGATAGAAATCTAAAAACTGAAACTTTTTTTTATATTATATGATAAGAAGTGATAGAAATCTAAAAACTGAAAGGTTTTTTTTTTATTATATGATTAGGAGTGATAGAAATCTAAAAACTGAAAGGTTTTTTTTATTATATGATTAGGAGTGATAGAAATCTAAAAACTGAAAGGTTTTTTTTTATTGTGCCTCACTTTCAAATCTGTGCTTCTTTATGGTGCGCTTCTAACTAGCATGCGTTCATCCGAGGTGCCAAAAATAGATTTTTTCCTGGTCATTGCCCGTTATTTGTTCACCATTTATGTTATATTTCTATTGAACCTAATTCCTTTCTGGATGCATTCATCCTTAGTACATTAATATTACTTAATATTAAGCTGCTTAAAAAAAATATTTTTCAAATAATCTAAATCAATGGAGTTACTTCCCTTTCTCAGGAATGTAAATTAAGTACGGAAGTATTACGAACCTCAGTAATGAGTTAATGATTGCAACTAAATTTTGTTAGAAATTATATTCTAATGTTTATTAGACATCAACATGCATGTATTTTCAATTATCATTATTTTTGTTTACAAAACTATCTACCAAAAGTACCAGACTGCGCCAAAACACTATATATCAACAAAGAACAGCTGCGGAGGGGGTGTAAATTCTTCACTATGACCGCATGCCGAAGGGCACATGCCCAAAGGAACCGCGGCATCTGAACGATGATAGTGATAAGGTCAGAAAAATGGTAATGAATAATCCAGTATCAAGCTCAGAGCACGTACCTCTATTTGAAATGGATGGATTTTTTTTTTATCATCTTTCTGAGTCTGAAAGCAAAAGATAGAGAAAATTAATTAAATTGTGTAGAGGGCGAGAGGAGAAGTATTCTGAAAATGAATGAGATGCCATTGGAAAAGAAACGGGGGGTGGGGTGGGTTGGGGGGGGGTGGTTGTGTTGTTATGAAAAAGTAATTTTTCAGAGTACTAAAAATATTCACGGCCCACTGGCTGAAAGGTAAATATTTATAAAAAAATGAGACATTGGTAAACTTACGCCTTTACCCTCTTTAGCTGCTCAAACATCAAATAAAATTTGTTCGCCTTTGAGCAGTGCCTTAATTTGATCTAAAGGGCCGCCATAACGATGCGCCTCACCTCTTTTAAAAACTTGTAAGCAAAGCCAACAAACGCTGGCCCTGTGTATATGGTCAGGGCTCTGTCGTTCAAAACGCCCTCGAGTCGAGGTGAAGGTTTCAGTTGGAAGATGGACTCATAGGTCTGCCTCCTGCCTTGGAACATGCGTCCTTGATCGGATTAGATTGGATTCAAGTTAAAATGTCAGAAGATAATGTGACAGAACAAAGTTGTGTAGACGACAATTCCAATAAAATAATGGGACAGAACAAATCGGAAATAAAATTAGGAAGGATGCCGATGGTGCAGGTTAGAAACCATCAGTCATAACAACTGTGACAATGGTGCAGACTTCTGGTGCACACTTTGCAGGATGTAATCAAAAGACATTGGATGTTTATTTGGAGGATGTTACAGGTTGGCACAAAAAGCAGACTTTTCATTGCCAGACTGCCCATCTCCTCCAATCAGCAAGTTTGGTATCAACTCAGTTTAGACCAGACAACCATCCTGAGCATTCATTACTAAAGTTAATATTATAAACAGATTCAGTTACGCACTGGTGAACAAGGTGGTAAACATAGGTATAGAAATAATAGTGACAATGAGGTATTAGTTCCTCACATTAATGACAGTAGAACTAAAAAAAAAAACCGTCAGCTAACTAAGAGGAGCCATGGTAAATTAATCAGAGCTAATCAAAATTAGCTAAATAAGAAGAGTAATAAATGGGCAATCAGAACAACCGTTGGCTAAATAAGAGGAGTAATAAAGGGGCAATCAGAAAAACCGTTGGCTAAATAAGAGCAGCCACAGTGAAGTAATCAGAACAATGCATTATTTAAAATGTTGAACCCCCACCCACCCCAAAAAAAAAAAACCAACAACTTATTTTCACCAAACCTTGCCAGAGCATCCCAAGAACGTCCAGCAGCAGTCCGTTGAAATGCCTTGGAAAACAATCCTGACCAGCGTCCGTGCTGACTGAAGACAATATGGGTTTGTTCAAAACGTTTCTACATGTCTTTGATGTATTGTAGGCTGCACGATACCTGTCAGAAAAAGTACATACAGTGTAGTGAGCAAATGATATAAGAGAATTTTTTTTAAGTGGAAGTAAGAACGTTCACACCTGGTCATGTTGTAATCAATATAAAATAAACACCTCTATGTAAATAAAAACAACACTTTACCCATAGTCAAGATGATTTTTTTTAAATGGAAGTAAGAACGTTCACACCTGGTCATGTTGTAATCAATATAAAATAAACACCTCTAAGTAAAAAAAAAAAAAAACACTTTACCCATAGTCAAGATGATTTTTTTTAATATTACAAATGAGAATCCTCATTTGCGATGTGTGTAATGTGTCACAATGATTAAAGAGTGAAGTAATAAATAAAAAACAAAGGGATATCAATAGGGGGGGGGGGGGGGGGGAAGAGAACATGGGCAGGTTGTAAAATATCAGAGAGCAGTGTGTAATGTCAAAATTGGGATGACAGAGTCTTGGACATTCTCAAATGAATGCTTTGCAACTACATGAATAGACACCCAGGACCAGGTGCACAGGCTTGTTGGGTAACTGTTTAAATTCCACAAAAGTAATATAAATATATATGTTGGTATATTGGTGTCAAATATAGGGGGGGGGAGACTGCCATCAGGTTAGAAAAATGGAGATGAGCGAAATGGGAAACCCCGAAATAACTGCTGAAATGTAGTATGCAAGAAGACAACAAGAGCAAACCGCATTCCTCTTGCGGTCCTCTCGGATACTACGTTTTAGCTTAGTGTTATTTAGGACAGAAAGTATTTTCTATTAGTCTATTCATCTGATGTTTTGTTAATTAAATAAATGTTTGTTTGTTGGCCTGATGAAGACAGTTAAGTTCAGTGAGTTCAGTTGCATCATCTTACACTCCTAGACCCCAAAAGCCAGTAGAAATCCACGCTTCATTCTCGTCAGTGATATCTACAACATTAAAACTAAAGAAATTCCATCAGCCACCCAGAACAATCAACATTTTCCGTGCATCAGTGCACACTACGCAAATGATGACTTCTGTGCAAGGGACTGAATGTGCCGTTCCTGCATTTCTCACAGTCCAAGTATCCCTTTATCAGCACACAAATCACTAGGACTCCTCAGCGGAAGTTACTTACGAGTTAATGACTTTACACAGCCTGGCCAGAGTGGCGGGACAGTCCGACAACATCAGGCGATGAATCACCTGGAGAGGAAGGCTCAGGAGCGGTATCCCGAACTTTTGTAACATCGTGGATATCTGTGTGTAAAAAAAAAAAAATTTGGAGACAAAATGATGAATTATTAATTTTCACAAACATACATGGAGCAAGGTTGGCTATCATTATCAGAGTACATTGGACCAGTGGTTCTCAACCTTCTAATGCAGCGACTCTTTAATACTGTTCCTAATGTTGTGGTGATCCCAACCACAAAATTATTTTTGTTGATACCATATAACTGTAAAGTATATGTGTTTTCGGACCCCTGTGAAAGGGTCATGCGACCCCCAAAGGGGTCGCAACCCACAGGTTGATTGAGAACCACTGCATTGGACAAAAACCTAAGTGAAGGGAACCTTTATTTTGTACTTAAGATTGGTTACATTAGTACAAACAGGTGGCTTAAGAATAACAGAACTATGCACACACCACAAAGGTAAACTCAGCGGGCATCAGCTTTGGCATCTCCCTGACCTCGAAATACCCCTGAACATAAGGTTAAACACAGGGAAGGGAAAGGCCGGTCTACTATCATTTACTGAGAAAACAATAAGTCATGTGTATTTCATATGATTAGAACATCATTAAATAATTGATGGAAACCAACTGGACAGTGGACAATTCATCTCCCCCATGAGGAAAATAGCATCTTCTACCTGTGGGTGAACTAGCTTAGCCGGGACAATGTATGGTTGACAATTGTGAGCTGTTTCAGGAGACACGTGTGAACATGGTTTATAGTACGGTTGAAAAAATATCTGTGATGTATGAAAAATGAATCGTAGTTCACAAAGTCAAGGAGATTGAGTGTTGTGATATAAAATCAAGAATTAAACAGAGCTCACCAAGTCAAGGAGATCTAGCGTTGTGATATATGTAAAATAAACGAGAGCTCACCAAGTCAAGAAGATCGAGTGTTGAGATACAAGTAAAATAAATGAGAGCTCACCAATTCAAGGAGATCGAGTGTTGTGGTCTGCAAAAGGTAATGATCCTCCTCCATTCGCATGCCGACGACAATAACATTATCCAAGTAGTTCATCAGATGTAACAGGATGGTTTGTATACGCTCTTCGGACTCGACCCTGCCTGAATTTCTACTCCCTGTCCCCCTGGGATCAACCGCCGCCGTCTTCCCCGTTTGGACATCGGTCACAACTCTCGACACACCAACTACACTGTCTGCATTCACACTTTCAAAAAAGAAAAAAAAAAACAAAGAAAATAATGGCAGTCTTAAAAATTGAGTTCATCTATAAGTAAAAACTGCAATTGAGGAGAAAATCAATATTTTTTTAACACCTGATTACGAAACTATTATTTTTATGTATTGAAGTATTAAGATCAGACAATATTATTTTGATTAAATTGCGCATAATTATGTTAAGCATATAAAAACTTTTTGATAGTCTCTAAATTTGATCAGTTTTTTAAAATGGGTTTGTAAAAAGGTAGCTATATATTCACTTTAACACTAACACTTATAAACAAACAAAAAAACAAAAAATTAAAGCTTCCTATTTTTCATTTGTTTTTCAAATTTAAATGCCAGACAAACTTAGTAGCTCAGGCCATGTCCTGTTTCAAGTGTTGACAGAAGTCAAATGTTTTTGTTTTTTTTAAATTTCCACATGCAGCAATCGGAGCATGATTATTGTGACATCAAAATTGTTTATAAGTTCACACTTGTGAATAAAACAGAAACGGAGGAAATGTTAAAGATAAAATATACCACCACAAGGCCTTTCATAACACAGAACTTTTACCAAGCCAACTCATTATCCACTACTCCTCAAGTGTTACTGCTCAAATAATTTTTTTATAAAATTTCACTATTAGTCAAAAAGTATAATGATGCCGAAAAATATATTTCATTTTGATATTTAATATCTATTTGGCCAAAAGAAGCAAGACCATTAATGTTATTTTCAACATTTGACATGCACAGAATGTAAAATTAAATAACTAAAAAAATACATAAAATCCCATCAATTGATTAGAATTTAACTAACTTTTTTTTAAATTGACAGAGAGTTGAAAGTGAGATCAGGCAGTTTAAATGATGGTATCATTAATTCATTGTTTACCTTGTGTGGTGTTCCTGTTCTGAAGCAGTTACAACTGGCCCACGGTGGGCAAGGACCCAATTGCTGGCCAGCTTTGTCAGACTAGTGATGAACATTGCCTGTGAAAATAAGACACACTGCATGAACGTTATCATCCATATTTAGGTAACACTTGTGATATCTTTATAGTTGCTTCAAGCATAGGGAGCCAAATAAATATGATTATTATATTCCAAATCACACATTGCATCACGTCAATTTAGGCACACTCATTATGAGATCATACAAATGACCCTCCACCCCCCACCCTCCTTACGCCTCCAAGCCATTTAAGATAGAATATCTGTATCAAAAAAACTTTCTAATCATTCAGAAATTTGTTTTAAAAAATGAAGTTTTTCTTTAATTTCATCCCTGGTAAGTAGGTCATGTCTGACATGAACTGAAACTAATGATTTATTTAAGTATACAGTGATGTGAACATCCAGATGTATTCTGCCTGAGAATAAAATAAACAACAATTTTGGGGAATAAGTGTAACACACTTCTACTCTGACATGGCGTGGGATGTTATTTCTTATGCTGTGGGTTATGTCAGTAGTATGGTTACTTATATTAACGCTTCAGGATGCCGACTCAGTCTTCTTCATTCTTTCACTTATTATTCAGGCACGTAAAGAAGAATACTCAATTCTAGTTAAAACTCACAGTACTTTATTGAACACACTTTATATTGATAATATTAATAAATAATCCTTGCATGAATGTAATTTCACATATATATCTATAGTATTCCATCATTAAGAAAGACACGTCCTCAGACTACTATAACTCAGCTCAACTGTCTAATCACACAGCTCTCACGCTACTGACTGACTCTACTGCTCTGCGCTCAGCTCTCCTTATCTCAGTCAACTCATACTTTATTACCAGCAAAGCGTGCAAAACAACCGCTCTGACAAAATTCAGCTCTCCTTATCTCAGTCAACTCATACTTTATTACCAGCAAAGCGTGCAAAACAACCGCTCTGACAAAAACATAATTTTACTCTCCAAAAACGTGGAGTTCACATTTGTTCTCAAAAATACAATACACATTGATTGTCTCTCCCCGTGGAAAAACCTGGTGAACACACTCACTGTCCACTCATGCTACCTCTCTGTTTACATGTGAAAACATAGTCCGTTACAATAAGTGTTCAATCATTTAATTAATTTATTGAAAACAAGAACAGTGTCACAGAATTTTTTTTTTAAAGTCTGTACCCATATGCAAATTATTATTAATGTTGCTCTAAGCCACAATCAAGGAAAATTGCATTCGCATTAGATTTCTGAATAAAGCTAAATGATAAATAAAGCTCTAAAAATAGCTCATCTTTGAAGAAGAATTAAAGCATGTACATTTCTAACAGGTCCTAGATCTCAAATATTACCAAAAGCAGGTTTTGTCAGTGCAGTGATATTCAGTCATTTAGCTACATTACTTCTACTACAACACAAGCCTTGACCCCATTAACTGGTTTACAAAAAGCTTCAGTAAAATTTTTCATCCGAAACGGCAAATGATTTTGAAGTTGTTACATTAGATTTGATAATCCATTAAGCATAAAAATAACAATAGCTTTACCTTGAAATAAACATCTGATGTAAAAAAAAGTTTTTGAAGTGGATCCAAGATGTTACGCAGTTCTGTTTTGGGGATAAAATCAAATTATACTTAAAGGCATATATTAATGTAAACACAACTCAATACTGACAGTTATGATAGAATGATACATAACATTCTTCAGTGCTAATTCATGAACATTCATGAATAGAGACCAGTTCATTTGATAAAGGTTGTATTGGTTAATGCAAATTATGGATTAGCTTGTTCAGAATTTTCAACCTAGACTAATTAGTCCATCATTCCAAAATAAAGTTCACCTAGCGTACTAAGGACTTTTCTTTAGCCATATTTTAATAAAATTTATGTTTTTAGCACTGTTTGAATGGACTGGTTATCCAGTTTTTAGCACTGTTTGAATGGACTGGTTATCCAGTTTTTAGCACTGTTTGAATGGACTGGTTATCCAGTTTTTAGCACTGTTTGAATGGACTGGTTATCCAGTTTTTAGCACTGTTTGAATGGACTGGTTATCCAGTTTTCAGAGTCTCCTATGATCTTTGAGGAAAAACCTGGCTCAAACATTTAGAAAATTACAGAGATGAGATATGAAATGTGTTACTCTAACACAGTGATTCGTAAACTCCCTAATGCTGCGACCCTTTAATACAATTTCTCATGTTGTGGTGACTCACAACAATAAAATTATTTTCATGGCTACTTCATAAATACGTGTTTTTGATGGTCTTAGGCAACCCTTGTATAAGGGCCGTTCGACCCCCAAAGGGGGTCACCACCAACAGGTTGATAACCGCTGCTCTCAACAGTTTAATTACAATTTTTAGCAATTTTACAAACCTTGAAAAGAAGATGGTTGTACATAGGGGATGAGGGAAAATATTGCAGTGACAAAGTTCAGTCCATCCCAAGAGGGCAGATAACTTTCTAAGAACTCTTGCACCACAGGAATCTGGAGGACATGAAACCAACAATATGACATAAATGAAAAGACATATATAGATAACAAGAAATACTTGATCTTCCTTTGAGAGACACACACATTACCAGCATGAACTGCTTTCAAACAGTATATACAGAGCTGTATCTAATTAAGCATTGAACGACCCAATTTTTTAAAGGGCGTTTGCATAACTTATAAGTTGATCTAAAAGCATTAAAATACAAGCAATAAGTCAATTATTTACAGTTAAATAAGATTCTCATTGATCCAAATGAACTGAAATGTTTTGTCATTACATTGCACATATTCATTTGCATAACATAAACAAATATATTTTAACCAAGATAACATTTTACAATTATAACAATTTAAACACAAGACGTCTAAAGTATTTCTCTAGCGTAGAGATCTACTAGAAATCAGTCATATATGAAACTCCATTAGTAACAATAATGACTTAATTAGTGATCATTTAGATTTGGTAATTGCTGGGGGAGCAAGCTGGTAAATTCATACAGACTGTGGAACAAAAGAATTTGTATATCTTTCAGTCTTAACCTTAATAGAAAGAATTCACCCTGATCGAGATGATTTTAAGTATTGGCGATGAAGAGGGTGGGTTGTATCATCCCAAACTTTTCTTAGTTTTACACCAGTATTTCTATTCAAAGTCTTTCAAAGGAAGGATGTTTACTTTGTGTAATGTTACTAGCCTTCTTGATTACTCTATTTCAGGCATGCACAACATACGACCCACGGGCCACATGTGGCCCACCAACACCCACTTTGCGCCCACGAAGTAACGAAATATTCCTTCTAATTATTATTTTCTTAATCGCTTTCCCCCTGTCCTATTTCCTTTCCGCCCCCACAAGTTTTTCATAAAGTATTATGGCCCACCTAACATTTTGAGTTGTACAGGACTGGTCTATAGATTAGAAGTAAACAAAGCATTAGTTACAACTCAATATTTTTTATATTAAAAATTGAAAATTCAAAAGCATTTTCCAAACACCAAATACAGCTTTTAAAAAAAATAATAATTTTGTAGCAGAGGTTAGAGCAGAGCTATTGGAATGTGGTAAAAAATAAGAGTTAAAATATAGAAAGTAGAATGAAGCAGGGTGATGTTTTCTCAACCGTTTTTTGCTACATTGTGAAATAAAGGATGACCCCCCCCCCAACCCCCCACTTCATCCTACTTGTGTCTCATTAGTTTTGAGTAATCACATTTGAGTCACAGTACCTGAAAATGTTGAGAAAACTCCAGAAGCAGTTGCAGGAGTTGCTCTTTTCTTTCATGGTCAACATCTGCACTTTTGAAATCTTAGGGGTGTAGAAGACAGTTCAATAAAATAATGTGGCAGAACAAAGTTGCGTGGAAGACAGTTCAAGAAAATAATGTGACGGAACTAATTTGTGTAGAAGACAGTTAAAAAAAATCAATGTGACAGAACATATCGGAAATAAAATTAGGAAGGATGCTGATTGTGTGAGGTTAGAAACCATCAGTCACACTTGGTTGTGACTCAATCAAAATATTGCTACAATCATTTAAAATGTTTCCTAGCATTTTCAGAATCAGATTTAGCTTGAAGTTTCTATTCTGCAGAAGGCAATTACAGGTGTCAATTTTAAAACATTTTTTGTCACGGATTGCAAAAAGTACACAATTTAATTATCAGATTCTAAAAACTATATTCAATGATCCTATTTCATAGCTATGCGATAAATATTAGAACTTTCAGCAAAATGCATTGAAAATTTTCAATTTTTTAAACATTTTGTCATGGATTGCAAAAATTAGACAATATGCAATGATTCACATGTATTCAGTTAAAATAAGTGACGTACAGAAACTCTAATGAACAACTAACGTATATTCAAACAAAAAAACATTACTCTTAGCTAATGAACTGTTATTTTTTGTCATTCATTTTAAAATCCAAAAATTATTTCTTGTTTAATGTTTACATTATCAACACTTACCAAAGGTAAAGAAATGCTGTAGCCAAAACCCCAGGCGGGCTAACACAACTGGATCAGGGTGGCAGGACAGCAGCAGCTGAAGGCGCTTGTCCTTGAAAGCTGCAGCTATTTGACTTGGGTACTGGGGAGGCAGACAACATGGTGGACAGTTCAGCAGATAAACTATGGTTAAGTATATTCTAATGCCCATAAATCTGAACAACTTGTATTCTATTCTAAATTTGCTAAAATAATTTTTTTAAACATAAAAGCTTAAAAACGCTGTTAAAAATGCACACAATAGACAGAAATCCAACGGGTCATTAAAAGAGAGAATTTCTCTCCAGGTTCAGTTTCTGCAGCCACTCGGAGAGGTCCAGGTAGATATTTGCCACCACTGTCCCTTTAGGTGAGATGGATGCTGAAAAATATTTGGAAATTTTTTGTTTTAATATCTGTAAAAAAAACAGCTCACCTCAATTCTGTCGAGCTTGTCAAGAAATTCTGCAAAAGAATCAATTTGAGGGTAGGGAACACCCCCATCAAACATTGAGAAAACTGCAGTCTCTGTGTCTTTTTCTTCTGCGATCTCATCGGCAGCAGAGTGTGATTCTGGTATAAACAATTTCTGTCTCTTTGCGCCTCGCTGAGGAAGGACAAAATACCAAATTAAATCCTTGACTCATGTTGCAGATGTTTACTGCAGACATACAAAACTAGGAGCAGTGTGCAAATACATAGGTCTGGTGGCCCACTAACCTGAACTGTTTGGATTCTGATGGTAATAAAACACAAAAACGAGTTTAAGATTGAAAAAAAAAAATGAACTAAACAAGCTGAATACTAGTATCTTTTTGCCACAATGCGCTTATCTCTGAAATATATCAGTGGCTGTCTCCAGTACAATGAGTATGCACCATTAAGATTCCCAGATGTAGATGGTATAACAAATTGTAAAGCCAAACTTAATTTTAATGTTTTAATTGCACTAATATTAATTTGTATAATTCTTTAAAATTACATAGTTTGCTTTATGTTATTAAGATTCTGAAGGATCTATAGATTACAAATTACTTCAACATTGAAAATTATGTGGTCTCTTTAAGATTAAATTTTTGAATAATACATTGGAAAAGGGTGGCTCAACAATTAGCAGCTAGTGAGGTAATCTCTTTTGTTTAAAATAATTATTTCTCACCACCATCGATTTCATTAAATTATGTGGAAATAGGTTTATTTGAGGAAAACTATGATTCCAGTTTATGGTAGTTGATTTTTGCACTAAATATAGGTCAACTTAATTATTTACAAATCAAAGGTGAAAAATTAGGAGTGAACCTTGACCACTGCTCTCTCTCTACGACACTGGGTAGCCAGAGTCCTCTCTTGAGTTGCTGTATCCTCTGACGACTGGTGCATTTTCACAATTTCTTCTATGGTAGACCTCCATAGAGCATCATGAGATTTGAAAAACACCTGCAACATAGAACAATGCAAACAGCAGGCATGGTAAAAAATGTCCTTTTGATGGAAGTATTGTTTCACTGTAGTTAAAGCAATTTATTGCCAGATATATGAGCAAAGATTTAGGCTAAAGTATCTGCCAGGTGTTTGCTTTTAACAGAAATTATTCTTAAAAAAGGTGGCACTCATGGTGACGGTGGCTATTCGAACAACTATTTTTTTTACGCCCATGCCTATTGATTTTATTGTACTATCAAAATCTCAAATCAGTGAATAGTTAAACCATGGTTTATTGAAGTATTCAGTTCTGAATAAACACAATAAAGTATATTACCTTATGTTTGTGATCCAGCCTCATGGGCACCAAGTGGGGGCAATAAACCTTGTACAGTGTTAATAAGCCAATAAGACCAGGTTCTGGGCCCTTAAGAAAAAGTAATAAATCTAAAACAAACAAACAAAAAAAAAAAAGGCCTATGCATTTGCTACAACTATCTATGTTATTTCTTTATTGCCTCCCCTCCAAAAAAAAAACCACCAACGAAACACAAAAAAAATTTTAAAAATGGGCACCAAGTGGGGACAATAAACCTTGTACAGTGTTAAAAAGCCAATAAGACCAGGTTCTGGGCCATAAAGAAAAAGTAATAAATCTAAAACAAACAAACAAAAAAAAAAAGGCCTATGCATTTGCTACAACTATCTATGTTATTTCTTTATTGCCTCCCCTCCAAAAAAAAAACCCACAACGAAACACAATAAAAATTTTAAAAAGAGAAAAGTGAAATGCAAACATATACTTAAGATAAAATTATGGTAGTTTTCTATCTAATAGACACTTAAGTAATTCCGGGATATAAATCTTCGGGTTAGTTTAAAGTAAATGACACCCGGTCCTCAGCGTTCACAGCAACCCAAAGTAACATTTAGAAACAAAATGGGGACTACAAACACCAGTTTGCAAAATGATGAAGATTGTGCAGCATCAGCTTTTTGAGCAAGTTTGAAAGTATTTACCACTTTATTAATTAGATCCAATAGTTTCTGGACTTTGTAGAGCTGGACATCTTGCCTCCTTGTCAGCATGTACAGCAAATGGCATGCATGTGGCATCTTGAATAGAAACAAGGCACAGAGTTAAAAAAAAAGAAGCTTAGATAATGATAAATTGCCATAACACTTTAAATTAAATTCTTATTTGGTGAATTGAAATGTTGTGCTGGTCTCCTTCACAAAAGCGATTGTTGCGGTAGCCAAGTCAACTTTTAGGACTGCAGTGTCCTGTAATACCAGCAATGGGCCATTGTCATTTTTAATAGTGAGGATATTTATAATTGAATATTTTTAATGTAAATAGGATAAAATTATCACTGACAAATAAAATTTTCTGATGAAACAAATATATAGGAACACATTCTTTTTTATATGTCATGTTATTTAATCAGAATAAATTTAAATAATATTTTTTGGTAACTTTCACAAATTTCAAGAGAATTATTTATCTTTAACAAATATTGAGTTATATTTATATTGAGAAATATTTAAAACAAAGCTTCACATGAAAACAATAATGTTTCCCCTGTCAATAAAGTTGTGGAACCTACCAAGAGATATGAGTTGATGAAAACAAATATAATATCATATAGACTGTGTAGGTTGTCCAATCCATCGATGTAATCATAAATAAGTAGAATCCAACGGAGGAGGACACTCTTAAAAAATAAATCATGGTTCCATTTGACAAAGAATTTAAAAAACGGAGTGAACGCCATTGATACTTAATCAAATAAAAAATAAATTTAAACAACAATATATATACTTATTTTTTCCTTAATCTACACAACAATTTCTGGGGTAGTTATGCCACCCGACTCACGCATTTTTAATATATTTTTTTTCAAGGACAATCGTTCAAATTAGATTCAAGCATTTTCATTAGATAATAATGATTGTGAAACAAAATGGAGGACTAACATAAGAAATTTATGGATCAAATATATATATATATTTTGTGACTAATTAATTTTAAGACATGACTTTCAATTCAAGCTAGGCAAAAATAATAATAGGCAATAAGAGTAATTAACTTTAAGAGTTCAGATTAAAGTACACTCACATTGCTGAGAAATCAAAATTGTAATTTAGCAAGTATTAATTGAAGGGCTGCATTCAGCAAGTAAGCATTAATTCACTGATTAATAAATATCTAATCTGAGCACTTGGATAATAATGGTCTGCTCAGAAATTAAATTTAAAATTCATCTTGCTAAAACTTTAAAAAAAACATTTAAAATAAATAATTTTGTCAATGCTTTTTACATGTAAATTTGATGGGCCTGGATTGGTGAAAATTCTGATGCTGATCCATGACAAGACTCTGACAACAACCCTTTGAGGAACTTTGCTGGATGGGATCAAACATTTGACAAATTTTGTTCTGATAGCCTGAGCTGTAAAGTATTGTGAAGAAAAAAAAAGTTAAAAGAAGAGAGAGGGGGG